CCAAGCTATAGCCCAGGGGCCATGACCATAGGCTTTGAATCCCCTGTGAGCCGTGTCATCTTTAAAGGCACAGGCTCCTCCCACAAATCCAGGCTAGCCTTCGGCCAGCCTTCAAACTTGTCTGGCTCTTGCACTACCTTTCCCTAACGAATGCCACAATTTGTTCTCCGATTGAGATGTTACGTCTCCATTCTCCTTTATGTATGTTTATTTCCTGGATCCTGCGATCCCTACCTGCGACACATCTTTTGTATCTGGTTGTACTTATATACGTTTGGAAAATTTTCAATAAAATCTTTGTGAATGAAAAATGCTCCAAGCACAGAAAAATATGTGTTGATCTGCCAGAAATCCAGTGAGTTACTAACTAATCCAACAAAGTGCTTTTCTATTCCAACCAGGATTGTCAGTCCTACAGAACCTTACCTATCCCCCACCCCTTTCTGACCCACTCCATATGCCTTGATTTCTTTCCAAGAAAAACAAAGCTGCTGCCTTGAATCTGGAGGATGTGTCAATGTCACTTAGAGCTGACCTCCCAACAGCTGCCCCTGCAAGAAATTCACAAGCCTAGTGCTGACATCACAAGGAGTTACGTGTTCTAGAGGGTGTTGGGGTTTCTTACCCTTCCTTGTCCACTTGAGCTCGTTTACGATTCTGTGCAGTGTTTCTGACTCTGACTTTTGATCCTAGGCGTCTTCTTATGACCCAACCCATAAACGTCATCATTCTGGCAACTTCCTGTCTCACAGTGATGATACGACTCCACTTTACCACATAGTCGTCAGTCTTTTCACTTGGTTTATGCCCTTGCGGTTTTCCAGACCTACCAAGTGTTGTCTGCCAGTTCCTGAGCTCCGTGTATGAATGTTTTTGCTTGACTGATTTGGTGCAGTGACACACTGGGGGGGGTCTCAGCTGCCGTTGTGATGTGCGGGGTCCCTTGTGTGTCCCTGTGCCTTTAAGGGGGTTGGGCTACCTCCTGGCGACCTGCACCCAATTTTATCTTTTGCTACATGTGCTCCAAGATGGAGACACTCATAGGTTAGAGTTAGGACCGCACTATAAGAGGTGCCTTGGCGCGGCTGTGCGGCTTTCACATATTCTGCAGAAGACGTGCATCTAAAATCTCTGTTTTTAACGTAACGGTTAGACAGGTTTTTTTTGCATGCTGGCTGGTGAGTGTGCTGGGAAACCTTTCACCGTTGTATTGTATAAAGCCCTTCCATGTGCACCTTGCTTGAAAGCTGGCTATGAGTTGGTGAGTGTGCTTGCCATTTGTTTTGCTTGGCCGTGTATGATCCTGGCTCTGGCAGACTGATCTCCTGGTTCCAGTCTCCATCTATTGTACTCGTTCATTCTGCTCTCAGCATTCCTAGACCCGGCTCGGTTGAATACCCACTTTTCCTTCTGACCTCTAGCTTGGGTCTGACTACGTCTCGGGTTTACCTATTGTTTTTTCTATTTCGTTTATTGTCGCTTTTAATAAACTTTTTTTTTTTTTTTAACCGGCACTAAGTTTACGTCTGGTTTCTTGGTTCCCCGACAAAGAGGAAGAGGGAGGTTTAGGGGTAAATTTAGGTAATGCCTGGACATGCATTTTAAGCCAAGTCCCCACTATTCCCTGCAGCTGATCGTGTACATGCAAAGGGCGCGGTAATTCACATTCTCTGTTTATCTCATCTAAAACAGATGATCCGACTGACGAGCACATCAGCTGGAAAAACTGGACTTCCCAGGCTCTGATCTTCGCATTACAAACAATCAAAAGCGTTAAGATTCTCTTGAAAGCGATCGGTTTGTTTACATTTCACACTATGTATTTGTATATCATATTATGGGCTCTGAAAGTCATACAAACGAAGACTACGGGAAGGGATAAGGATGCCCTGTACACACGCTGGCTTGTGTAGCCTCCAATTATCTTTTAATTCAGCCGCTGTCTTCATTTGTTCCTTTCATCTCCTTGTTCTCTTTTAAAAAATAATTTATTTCAGCGAACGCCGCCTCAGCCCCTGGGACCGCATCCAGCCTTGCATATTTAAACACGTGGCACCGCCAGATGCTGTACGTCAAAAATGAAAGTTGGTGGCAGCGGTTTGAAATTAGATACTAAACAAGCATCTGTATACGGTATATGTATTTTTTTTATTTCATACTTTCATACTTTCTGTGGTCCGGTTCATTCAATGTTGACCCTGCGGCACCTTCTGCTGATTTGTCATTTTTTTTTCTTAAATGCTACGTTTGAATTAAACAAGCTCCTGTTCCTTCCAGCTGGACTCCTAAAGCGATCCCTTCCAGGGAGGAAATAGAGCACCTTCACGCTTCTGACTCGTGTCCTTTGCCGTGTCGGACGAGAGAGCTCTAAGAAAGTGATAAATAAGGTTTAATGCGCGGCAGTACGTTGCACTGAAATTGACTGTTCTTTACGGAGTGGAGAACAGCCACTGAGGTCAGGGGTCGTGAGAAGCTAATTAGCATATAAAGGGCTCATTTCTCGAAAGAAGTGACTCTCTCCAAAATTTACTGCATAGTCTGGGTCATAATTTAAGTCGCATATACATAGAAATGAGATCACTTTCTCTGGAACGGCTAATGCTAAAGATGGATACAAACTGGTGGTAGGGATGTGGTTTTATCAGCACCAGAATGCGGCTGCAATTGGAGAAGAAATAATCACTGTGCAGAAAATCGTTTAGGAGTAGAAGATATAGAAGACGGCTTACACATAAGGAACCCATTCGTTTATGTTGTCTTCATCCTAAGGCTAGGTCTACAGTTCCTGAGCATGCAATGTTCTAAAGCAATCAAATCAATCATGAACCTACCACCCTGATCTACTGCTGATCTGTGAGAGCCAACATCATGATCAGTATGGTTCTTGCAATGCTAAGTTCTTGGCAAATTGATACATAAGCCATGCCTGAGCTGAAACATGGAGAACAGGGCCAGATTTTCCATAAGGCCAACCAAGGCCCCGCATCGGTGCAGCAGAGTGTAGAGAGGCAGCAGGGGTGTGGAATTCCTATCTCCTGATGCCGGGGACATTCAGTTCTGGGCGACGGGTGGGTAGTTGTTTTCTACATTTAGCCCGGCTTCGCATTGGGGAACCTGGCCTTTGGGGCAGCAGAGAGAGTAAATCCGGCCCTGATGGAGAGATTTATATACTGTGTTGAAAGTCAGTCATTGCATAAAAACTGGCCCCAGAGGACTAGTCATCTTTTAAATGTAAAAAGACTTAAGGTGCGTCAGCATGCATCTGCAGGTAATGTACAGCAATGTCAACCACGGACTGCAACTCTTCATCGGCTTTATGGGGATTCGGAGCATCTTGAACATGGCTGTAGAACCCAGAGGCACTACGAGGGGTCCCAGCCAATGAAGCCGGGATTCTCATTTTTTTACTAGACAAATAATGAGCACATCCATAAAACATGCCGAGCTTGCATGTCCTCAATGATAGGAGGAGAACAGTACATACAGGCACTGGTGGTCGCCAGAGAGGAATTATCTCTACAGTGAGCTGGCTCATTATACGGTTATGGAATACAGAGAGCAGTTGTATCCAGTTTACGGACATTCATTCAAGAAAACCAATGGCCAAGGACTGCAAAATTAAAGAGGGACCAGAGGCGTATGGCAGCGTAGTCCCATAGAGAAGGACAGGGGCTGCATACTGATCACACACAGCACCTGTCCTTCCCGGTAGCTGCCCAATACGGCCGTGCACGCAACTGTACGTGCCGACCGATTCCCGTGTGAATGAGCCCCAAATCAGCGAAATACATTCCAGGAGTATCAAAACAAAAAGGTGTGCAAAAGTCTTTCAGTTCCTTTTCATTAGAAAGCAGCCACAGTTTGGTAGAATTGCCTGTCCTCTGCCAACATGCTGCAGAGAACTGCTTTTGTATGAAAGCAGTGGCCTCTCTGCAGAGATCTAGCACACCCTTAGAGCTCTCCGATGCAGCAGTGAGCATTAGCTTTTATAGATCTGACTCAGATTGCTGCAGAGAGGCCACTGCTTCCACGCAGAGTAAAGATCCTTCTCAGCAGCATGCTGCCAGGGGACAGGCTTTTCAGCTCCGGAGGCTCTAGGGGTAAGCTTCAGACCTCTGCAGAAAGGCCACTGCTTCCACACAGAGCAAAGATCTTTCTCGGTAACATGCTGCCAGGGGACAGGCTGTTCTGCTCTCGAGGCTCTACGGGTAAGCTTCAGACTTCTGCATAAAGACTACTGCTTCCACATAGAGTAAAGATCCTTCTCAGCAGCATGCTGCCAGGGGACAGGCATTTCTGCTCTTGAGACTCTAGGGGTGTATCAGACCTCTGCAGAAAGGCCACTGCTTCCACACAAAGAGCAAGAGTCCTTCTCTGAAGCACGCTGCAGGCAAATCTACTCAAACTATAAAACTTTGCACAACTTTTGTTTGGATGCACCTGCAATGTATTTAGCGGATTTAAACTGAAAGTCAGGCTTTAATTACCCTCTTTGTGTAAACCAAATCGCACTGAAAGCAAAAGTTGCTCCCGAACTCTTGCAAGTATAGCATTCCAACATAATTATATCCAGCACATTGGAGAGCACCAGGGTCCCCTAGAACAAACTTAGCCTTCCTTGCTACACAGAATTTAATGACTAAGGGCCCGTTTAGTGGTCCACAAAAGTTTTAAACTGTTACTCTGCAAATTATATTGTGTTACAGTAAAGAACGCATTGCATCCGAAGGATATTGTGTTACAGTAAAGAACGCATCGCGTCCGGAGGATGGTGGTCTTGTCCAACAGCCAGGTTATTGTTTTGAGAACCAGGATGTATCTTCTTACAGCATTCGATTAACTCTTACACAGAAGCTTAGCTGTCCAGCTATTGTTGAACAATATAAATATAATGCAAACAGGACTTCTATTTGCTTAGCAAACAGTAGCTCTGTGTTGTATTGTTTCCACGGGTATTTGTTTTCCTGCCCTTCCTATGTTGCTTAAATATGCAAAGTTGGTGCAGAGCAGATGGCGGAGGGCTACGGAGCAAGCAGCCAGTATTTCTGGATTCTGGGCTGCCTGCACTCACCTTGCCACTGACCGCGCCGTGGCACAGAAACTACGGCAGGCGTCTCCAGAGCAGACCCAACTGGTTTTCAACAAGGCAGAATAATTACATGGATTCCTGACATTCTTCAACCCTCACTTGATATAGAATAATGATTAACACAGTGTGGGAGAGCAGAGCCTGGCAGTTGGACATGCAGCTGATAGGTAAAGTTGTTCTGTCGGCAGCTGCCTTATTTTTTTTGGGTCTGGCTTATAGATTCTATAAGTTCCGAGCACTCGAGGGATCTGAAGAGTCAGACATCAATGGCCCTGGTCTCAGAAGCGCAGAGGGCGATGTCCTGGATAGCCCCCAGCGAGATTACGCAGATGATGAAAGCAGTACTCTGAGATTCAGACGTGTAAACAGTAACCTGCAGAATGGCTTAGTCACAGATCCTGGAAGAAAGGACTTTGCCGATTCTTCGTTCGGTACACATAAAGTTCATGTCGCAGCTCAGGAGGGATTTGAAACGGCTGATGTTATCTGTAAAGACCAAAATGATTATTGCAGAGAAGTTACAGAGGAGTTGCGCAACAGCTCTGATCCCCTGCAAAGCCATCGTCATCATGGAGATGACACGACCTGTCAAAAGGACGAGTGCGATGGGGTGGAAACTGACAACAAAACCCAAAGCGAGCACTGCAGAGAGGATCCAGAAGGCAGGGAAATGTTGGAAAAGTCGGAGTTGGTGAACGACTACCCAGAAATGGTCTACAAAAACATGACAGCACAAAGCTCTATTGAGTTATCCGTAAGTCACCAAAATAAGGCAAAGCAAGAACTGCACAGGTTCTCTTCCACGGCTGAGGTCCAGATGCAGGAGAGCATGATCGCAGAAGATGGAAAAGTTCTTCAGACACTGGTACCGGGGGGCCTTAGAAGGAAAATTTATGACTATCGCATTGAGTCTACATCCCAATCGGCAGTTAACACATTGGACATTGGAGATGTCTCTCCGCAGTCCCCACTTTCTATTATAACATCACATCTACCGACATCAGAGGAAGAAAAGGAGACACCTAAAAGTCTCAAAGACCTTGTGGAGACCACAGAAGATTCAAGCAAAGGTGACAACTTGACTCAAGTAACCATATTACCAAAACAGCACGTTGCCAGTGACAGTAATACAGCAGATGGTGCGGACGCTCAGCAGACCAGATCCAGTTCTAATTTCTCTATCACATCTCAGTCAGTTACTGAGGAAGGAACCTCAGAAGCTGAGATCTATGCTCCACAGCCAGAGCTCACCTACATAAAAAGAGATCTACAGACACTGGAGGAACGTGAAGCAATGCTGCCAAGTGGGGAAAACACAGCAGACCATTTAAGCAATAAGTCACCAGATCAAAATCGATTGCAGGAGCAAGACTTCTCTGGTGACATTAATAAAAAGCAACAAGAAGGAAGTCAGGTAACCAACACTGGTGGCGCTGCTTCTGCCAATCTAGCAACATTATCATCCAACATAGTAGACCAGAACATTGGTGCAGCTCTAGGTAAACAAAGAGGTCCTGGTGCTGAGGAAGGGGCTTCTGAAGCAGAGCTCACTCACATAAAAACAGAGGAGGAACATGTACCAACACCAACAAGTGTGGAAAACACAGGCCCTGGTACCTACCATGTTTCTTTGACCTCCGAGTCATCTGTATCCGATATACACATTGATTTGGGGAACTGTTATGAGGTCCTCTGTATGGCCAAGAAACACAACCTCGAAACCCTTAAAACAGCTGCCTACCAAATAATGAGCAACGACTACCTACAAGTGCTGCAGAATCCCTCCATCTATGGACGTCTTAATGCTGCTGAGAGAGATTTAATTCTCGAAGGCAGGATGAAAGGTAGGCGGCATGTAGTTGTGGCTGACATTGATACTCAAGCCACATCTGCAGCCCAAAATGAGAGCCGTCTTAGTTATTATGACCGTGACAATGATGTGTGGCATCCTTTATCTCAAATCCCAGCTGAAGCTGTCAGCAGAGGCAGCTCAATGGCAACTATGTTTAATTATCTTTTTGTTGTCCTTGGATGTGACGGTCCCGGGAGGCAAATGAAGCCTTCCAGACACGTCCTGTGCTACAACCCTCTAACAGACAGCTGGAAGGAAATCAGCCCTCTCAAAGAAGCCAGGCCTCACTGCAAACTTGTGGCACTCAATGGTTTTTTATATGCTATTGGGGGCGAGTGCCTTCACACAGTGGAGAGGTATGACCCGCGCCAAAACCGGTGGGCTTACATCGCCCCTCTCCCAAACGACACCTTTGCTGTCGCACACATGGCAACTGCCTATGATGATGAGATTTTTGTGACTGGTGGAACTTTCCGTTATATGCTACTGAGGTATCGTGAACGCGAGGAGGTCTGGAAGAGCACCGTTGTCAGCGGCAGCAAAGACCGCACAACAGAGATGGTGGCATCCAACAATTTTCTATATCGGTTTGACTTGAACCGTAGCATGGGCATCAGCGTCCACCGCTGTAACATCAGAGCCAGGATTTGGTATGAATGTGCCACGCTTGCAATGCCTTACCCAGCACCCTTCCAGTGTGCAGTCGTAGGCAGCAACATTCACTGCATCAGCAGAAACTTTCACATGCGTTTCCTGGATGAAGACGTATCGCCCAAATTCATAGATACAAATCTCCAGACTGTGCCGTCGCCAAAAGGCGTTCTCTACCCCTTCGTCCTTGTTCTGCCAGCGAAGGGCGCGCACTGAGCAAGTTCACGCGGTCACGGTCAAAATCTGTTTATCCTTTTGTGTTTAGCGGAAATCCGAGGTGCAGCAAACAAGTCAATCGAAGCTAATTAACAGTCTGATCCTGACATAGGCTAATTCCACGTACAGGACATAAAACCCAGAGAATGTAAATTATTCACGCAGTCTTTAATGGCAGTCCTCCTGACAAATGCACAGTTATAAACGGCAGCATTGAACCGGCTCAGCACACGGCATTAAAGTTTTGTGGGGGGGTTTTTTTCCCTTCAAGATGGAAACTTTTTTCTAAAATGTACATTCCACATCCATAAAGGAACTATAAATCCAGAACCCTAGCAGGTAAAACGCAGAATCCAAAAGTAATTGCTTTGCATTACGCTGCTATCTCACGGCTATGATTGTTAAGTATGTGACTTTATATTTTTGGGGGAAGAATGTTTTATTTCATGTACGCAATGCAGAATCAAAATTAACCCAATAAGATTTATAAACATCGAGCTGTCCAAATCTTTTTTTTTCTCCCTGTATATACTGTGTACCCTACAAGTATGCATGATTGATATATATATATAAAAAAATATAAATA